GTTTTCTAATGCATTGAGACGTTAACTATTACCATGTCTCCCTCTACCTTTCCAGAACTGGAAGAATGAGACCGTGGCAGAGCAAGAGCAGAAGTCTCCAACTGAGAAGCCTGTCCTGCTGTCCAAGGATATCGAGGCCAAACTGGCTCTGCTGGACCGCGAAGTGAAGTACCTTCTCAACAAGGCCAAGTTCGCCAAGCCCAAGCCCAAGCCCAAACCTAAGGACAAGAACGCCACCAGCTCCGAGGCCGAAAAAACAAACGGCACTGCTGCAGATTCTGAGAGAGTAATCCCACCTAAGGAAGAGCCCTCCTCTGAGAAAATGGAAGGCAAGTCTGTCTCTTGACTCTTGACTCTTGTGACTCTTGTGTGTGATGACATCCTATACGTTTGTAAGCTATTTTTGGTTTTACAAATTATTGGACAAAAGCTTTATCTTAAGATTTGCAAAGTCTAGCTGATTTTATTTCTTGTGTATTATTATTATTATTATTTTATTATTATTATTTTATTTTAGTTCCCACAGTCAAGCCCACAGAGGAGGTGAAACCTGCAGAAGAGCCGCCCACTGATGAGAATTCTAGGAAGGAGAGTAAGACCGACAGCCAGCAAGAGCCTTCAGAAACCCCAGAGCTAGAAGGGAAACCAGGTACATCTCAAGCTCAAATTCTTACAAAACTGATCAATGTGGAAACTGCTTAAATATTGAAAAGATGTCATATCAGACAATCTTATTTTGTTGAACTGCAGACATCTCAAATTACTAGTTTTGTCATTTCCAATTGATTTCAACATACTCAATTGAAAATCTGCAATTTTACGATGCAACTGTAATGAACAGGGTGAGCAAAGTGGACATCTGACTAAGTTAGAGGATTACAGGTAAAAAAAAAAATTAAAACATTTAATTTTTGTATTTGCAGAACCAACAGAAAACAGTAAACTGGAAAACCACATAGAAGACGAATTATAACATCTGGAATTCCTGAAAAACAGTTCAGTGTATTTATTGACATTAATTTTTGTAATGTTTTATTGTTTTAGTTTTTTTTTTTCTATTAATTTAAACCGGATTGCGTCAGTGGATCATCATCATCATCATCAAGAAAACTATAGGTGTACATTTTGTTTTTTTGTCCCCTCTTTCGTATGGACAAATCCTATTTTTTACCATGACTGTGAAATCTGCTGCTTGCCCCCCAACCCCCACCCCCACCCACCCAAAAATCAGTTTGATCAGCAAAAGTAACGTGTAAAAAAATTCCAAGCACACAGAAATGGGTTCTGAAACTGGCTTTGCTCCGTCACCCATTCTTCCATTTTTGGTTGTAGCTATATTCTGAATAAGGTGTGTGCAGGAAAGCAGAATTGGGAATGCTTGCAAACCGGTACAGCAGGTGGCAGTATGGTTAGGATTAGAACTCATTTCAGGGTCGGTTTCAGTTCTGAGTGTGGTGCTCATTGGGAGGGATTACCTGAGGAAAAGTGAGTTTGCTCTGGAGCTCATTCAGACATGGTCATTTTGTCGGGAAATTTTGGAGACCTTGTGTTTTTTTGTGGATTTCTACCAAGTTTATACTGAGGCTTGAATTTGGAGTCATGATCTGAAGGAGTGTCGGGAGCTATTAAATCTAGGCCTCTGGAATTTACGACACCCGATATCTACATCGTAGATCCTTGTAGGACTCGGCTGCCTTCTCATCTTTTTGTTGTTCGGTTCATTTTTAAATAAATCCTTAGGAATATTCCCAGTGGTAGAATAGGGTCCGATCTCTTGGCCCAGGGAGGCTTGATACCACATGTGCTTGCTACCAACGAGGGGAGGAGCCCTCTGTTCATGTCAGAGGAAACTTGAAGAGTTGCTAGCATCTTTTGTTTTTTTGTCTTATTTGGTGCAATGAGGAGTTTTAATGGTCTGATTCAGAATCGAATGCTGTTTTATCACAGTCACATTCTGAATTTAGTGGCCGATGTTCGACGTTTTTTTTTTCCTCCTTTGATGTGCAGGAGTAATGTACAACCTCATCAGTGTTGCATGTCTTTGAGCACTCACTTTCTTTAACTCGTGCTTTGCTGTAATAAACAAGACGCGATACGATATTGTACCCTTAGGATCCCAGCTTACAGAGATTTCTTCTTTTTTTTAGTGAAGCTGGGCAGGCTCAGAATTACAAGGGCAGGATTGTTGTAAAATTATCATCTTGTGGAGTCCCTAGAAGATATCTCCCCTGCATTAACAATCCCACTGAGAAACCCGAGTCTGAGTGCTGTATGATGTTTAAAGAGCACCTCCCAGCAGTGCGGAAGCGTATGAAACAGTTGCTGTACACACATTGTTGGTATTTAAGAAACTGGTATAATACAAGAGCCCTCACTCCTGGTCCTGGGAACTCAAGCGTCTGCTGGTTGGTGCTTCTAAGCACTCAGTTTAATAACTCTTAACAGTATCTTCTTGGTTAAATTCATTGACATAAAGGTGTGGGTGCCTAGAATCAGGACTGGGAAAGCCTAGTGTTGTGTACAGTCAATGTGAGTTATTGACTTAAGTCAAAATGTTTTCTGCATCACTGGTCTACTTAAAAGCCTTAAATAACAGAGGGATGACTTTATTTGTTTTGTTTGAAGAATTTGCTTTTCTTCCAAATTCATACCACAGTACGTGGGTTTTATTGTCATACAGATTTTAAACTAGGAATCTTTTGCGTTCTAGTTTTAAAATATTTTTGGAGATACTGTAAATGCTGGAATATGTCGATTTGTGTTTCACAGACTTCTTTTCCCGCGCTTGTGGTGTCAATCCCAGACACATTTTTCTTTTTTCAATACCGCCTGTATTGCAAAATACTGTTTGAAATGACCTAGCTGGAAGCTAAACATTTAATGCATTCATTCTACAATGTCATAAAAGTAATTAGGATTAAACGTTTTTTTCAGTACGGTTTTCAGTCTGTTGAAAATGGGTGACAAAAGTGGGCCTGCGATCGAAATGAGATTGCTTTCCGTTAAATTCATAAAGGGGCCTCCTCCGATGTGATACATTCGTGTAGAGCAGTCCCTCTGTATCAGGAAAATAGTTATTACAAAATAAATTAATAATTTTGTTTCTTTGTGTTTACCAGTACTATCAAAGGTATTCTTCTAATGATCAAACACTTCCTGCATCTATTTAGGATTTGTCTGACTGTGGTATTGTCTTTGAACTCAAAAGACTTCCCCCCGAATAATAGACTTTGCACTGGACTTCGTAAGACTACAGCTTTATTTCCCATCACAAACAACTCATAAAAAGCAAAATGCTCTGACCTGTATTTTGGAGAACAAGTCCGTATATTTCAGCAAACATTGTTTGGGAACTGAATGGGTTAGAAAGGTATATCATCATATTTTGACTGGAGGGTTAAATGTTTTTTCTAAAATGTTAATAAAGATTTTTTTAATGTTTTTTTTTTTGTTCTGATTAGTTTGTTTTATGAAATGGCATTCTTGGTTAGTAGTGAGGTAGCATGAGGAATCCTACTCCCTTGGGCCCCTGAGCAAGGCAATTAACCCCAGCTGTTCCAGGGGTGCTATACAATGGCTGACCCTGCGCTCTGACCCCAAGCTTCTCTCCTCGTCTGTGTCTCATGGAGAGCAAGCTGGGGTAGGCGAAAAAGACTTAATTCCTAATGCAAGAAATTGTATATGGCTAATAAAGTGATCTTATCTTATAATTGCCTCCAGAGATTAAACAAAAGGGACAGTTTTAAAGAAATTTCTTTCCGAAATCTGAAATTTTAAGCCATCTCTTTATCGGCAGGATCTTGTTGTTTTGTGTTTTTTAAATTTTAAATCCAATTTAAATGGGCACTTTTCTTAAATTTCTTTATAGTTCAAAATCTTATTTTTAAAATTGGTTGAGAACTCTTCTTTACAAATTCTCATGGAAGAGAATTCATGAAACACCTGAATAGAAGCATATAATATGTCCAATCACCGTCAATCATGACCTCTCACTTCATATCTGTGTTCAAGGCCAGCACAATTACCTGGATGGTGATTTTCTACAGATATAGCAGTAGGAGAACTAATTGAATGCATCTTTTAGCTTTACAGGCTTTCATGAACAAAATAAAGTAGCAATCTTAACACTAGTAATGGTATAGTTAGGAAACAGAAGACATCTTGTTTTACAAGCAACATCACTGTACTCTTGCAGATACATGGAAGCTGGAACTTTAATCTTATGGGGGCTGGTGTTGGTTATTTTTGCTTGTCATCACTTTAATTGCCACCAAAATGTTTCATAGTCATTTCCACCACAAAATACATCAGAATACCTCACTCTTACTCTTTACCCTCTTAGAGGCTACATTACATGTTAGAACAACTTTTTTATCTCCTAGGGCTTGTTTTCCAAACTCTCAACAGCTATATAGGTGTTCAGAGTAGTTGTCAAAGTTCACATGAGAGAATATTTTAGGTTTGGAGCTATGGGTCGGGGTAGTGTTTGGGTGAAATGAAAACTTACGTGTACTTACCACGTACCGTACGTCTATGGTCACAAAGAGCTACCATGTTTTGTGATATGATATGAAGACTTAGAAGGTATTACATAGGCCACATGCAGTAAAGGTAAGTGGGAAAATCTACACTTTTCCAGACTTCACAGGACAACAGAGGTATGTCTGTCACGTTCTGCAATGGTCAGTTCTCAATTTTCTCATCAGAACTGCCTGATGGACTTTACTTGTAATCAGTTCACTTATTGGATGGCAAATGTTATTTAGAGTTGACTAACAATTCTTAAGGTATGACTTGGCATCTTGTGGGGTTGGACATTAAAAATGCAACAAATCCTGTCGGTTTCAATGCTCATTTGTTCCTTTAGTGAAAAAATCTAAGTGCATAATACAGTTCAAACAGTAAATTGCAAATGCACAGCTGTTATTTTATTCAAAATATGTTTTTAATGCTTAAATTCAAACAGGATTGGTTTACAGTCACTCGGAACCATTCGCAGCAACACACAGACAATATGTATCGGTCAGACACATTGACATTTTCAAGCTGTCACGTTGTCATGGATCTTTTAAGGATCCAATTTAAGAATCCTTAAACAAGGCGGTACATTTGTAAGTACTGACTGGATGTTGATCTAACCAGATGCTGAACAACACAAGTTTTAAAGGTAAATTTAAAGGGTGGGTTTAAATGTGTTTTTGAAAGCCATGTCATGAGAACTCAACATTTTGACTTGAAAAGTTGGAGGTTGGCAGATTTTTCCTCTTTCCTTTCATTAAAGTAAAACTGGGTACGAATTTTCAACAATGCTTATTGCTGGAAGGTTGTAAATACTCTATACGGTCTTTTGCACCAAATAGGCAGTTATTACTGGTAATCAGTAGCAAATATAAGTAAAACATAAGTAAGTCCACTCTGAAATCCCCTTAAGGATATCCATGAAGTATTATCAAACCTCTATAAAATGTTTTGTCACCACCAACCCCAACAAAGAAATCATATTAGTATGATTAGTCCCATTATAAAGAATTTAAAACCAGTATCCAGTCATGTTCATGTACATGAGATAAAAAGAGAACAGGAGAAATTCACAAAGCTCTTTAATCTATAACCAAACTGGAGACAGATCTCAATGTCATCCATTGAAGTTTACAAAGAAACTATTAACACCCCGTCTAGACACAAAGAAACATGAAGAATCAGCCCTATTCCCCGTGACGTGATCCCTGTGCCTCTGCTTTTTTGAGACAGAACAGGTAGCCCAAGCGTAGATTTGGAGTAAACAGCCTTTATGAATCCCTCTCCCAAGCAGGTCACGTTTTAAAGTGTTTGACTGATCCCAGTCAGCAGGTTCTCACCTAGTCTTGGACACCTCAACCCCTCATTCTCTCCCACTCCTCGCCCTGCCCGCAGCTCTCGAGCTCACTTGCCGGCCGCGCCTCCCGGCTTCAGCTTGGACGAGCGGATCTTGAAGATGATGAATCCGACCAGGGACACACAGATCACACCCAGGGCTCCGGTGGCGATGGCCACGCCGGCCAGGGAGCGGCTGGAGGCCAGCGAGGCCGTCCCTGCGAGAGAGGGGAAAGGGTTACGGGAGAGAGGGCGGGAGGCGCTCCAGGCAGTGGAGAGGAGTCGGGGACTCGGCTCTCTCCACCAGCCGCTTCTCAGCCCGCCGTATCTCCTGGAGTGGTGAAGGAGTCACAGGTCTTCCTGGCTGTGCCCTGTGTTGTGATTACAGTGGTGTGATTAGAATGGGGAGGGAATGCGATGGAAGGTTAAATGTTACCCAGCGAAAAGCATCTGCATTGTGCACAACCCAGAAAACTGCTAGGTTTTGGGATAGCTTTCAGGGTGCTTGTGCTCCTATTGCCAGATACGCTGGCTTTTCTGAGCGTGGTGGTTGGTCTCTGCTGCTTCTCCTGTCTCCTGTCCTGGTCCTAGAGGGTTAGTGAGAATGTGAAGGGATGAATCTGTATTTAAAGTTCCAGCTTTAAATCCTGGGAATTTTGCTCCTGGGAGCTCTGTTTAAGCTCTGTACTTTTTGATTTTTATAGTTTTCCTGAGAGCGGACCACTGTAAGAAAGCACTCAACTTTTAAAAGCAAATTGTTTGGCTTTGGCAGTATTTAACAGCTGCTAATCACTTTCTTGGTCTGAGCAGAATGCCTCCTTTTCATGCCATGCCTGTGGATTTTTTATAGGTGTGTGAATTAATCTTAAAATTAAATCTGACTTGAATCACCCATCTTATTGACAGCAGGAGAGCTGCATGTTTTTATTCTGTAAAGAAAAGATTGGGTGTGGTTGTCACAGGGTCAGTGTTAGTAGTTTTAAAAGGTGAAGAACATCTCAAATGTTTTGGATAGGAAAACACTAAATCAGGAATATTAACAAAACATGAGCAAGTCAGGGCTTTTTTCATACAGCATTTTGTAAGCAGCACAAGTAACAGAGACAAGCCTAGCTGTGCATCAGGCTCTGATGACAATAGTGGTGAACAGTCACACCTGTCCACCAGGACAGCAACAGTGACAATCAGCCTCTGTTGCATCTGCAGTGCTGTACATATAGCATCCATCCACCACTGAAGCTGAAGCAGTTCTCACCTACTGTACAGTAAGTGACGCATGGCGCGTACGAGTGCAGCTCTGGCATGATTCTAGATGGACTCTGGACAGCCAGAGCATACTGTACTAGGCAACCGGAGGCAGACAAACAGAGTAAGCAGGTACAGTATATTAACTTATTAATTCCAGGAACGTTAAACAACATGGCCTGGCAACAACAGACCACTTAGACTTTTAACTTCAGCATTCGGCATATGCTCTCCCCCTATCATTTCAACAAATTCCTTACAGGATGTACAGCGTTTCATTATAACACTACACCATCGAGGAAGCCATTCTTAACAAAGTAGCTGAGCTGGAGTCCGCTGCAAACTAAACCACAGACCAAAGGAGAAGCAACAGTTCAGTAGTTTTATTCTTCCATGATCACAACCACTCAGATACAATGTGTGTGTTAATAACCAGGTGCTAAGATGTTTCTACAGTAACTGTAACACTCTTATCTTCTGTCTTTTCACATTGTTAAAGCACTTCAAGAAAACTCTGTTTAATTTTGTGTAAACCCTACAGCTTTAGTGTTTGCCTACCATTTCTGTCAATCGCCTGTCCACCATTCATTGGAAGAATTTGTTGAGATCTTTCCTCTGAAACACAAAAGTGCAATATTCTGATCCTAAAAAAAGAAACTAGCAATTTACTTCCCCATCTTTGCCCCCCACCCAGTGTAGCTGCATGTGAAAATTATCTGGATGGGTTGTTGTTTATCCAGGTTGTTTGAAAACGAAGCCGAACCATAATAGGCAGTAAAGAGGTGAACTTTCTATCCACCAAGTGTGACTCACTGGCAAGGAGAAAACAGAAAAAAATAAATATTCGTACCTGCAAAAGATGATGCCTCAGGAATACCTATAGTGGGAGAAAGTAAAAGAAAAGCCAGTAAGATCTGTTCCTTTGGACTGCTGTAGACAAGTTTCCACACACTACACTTCCATACACTTTCAGAAATACACATGAGCTTGGCAACTGCTTTAAAAATGACACATGAGCTTGGGCAAGTGTTGCAGTGGGTTTGTTTGCAGCCGGAGTATGGTCTGAGTTTTCCCTCTTCTCTTTTCTTTTCAGTGTGGAACACACCGATTACTTTTTTGCAATACCTGTGCAGCCTACGCGTGCTGACGCAGCTGCCCACCTGAACTAGTTCAGAATATGGCCTGTTGAATATCTCACGGCTCCCACACCTCTGAAGCACCAGGGCACGGCAACAGCATGTCAAAGAAATCCTGACAGGCAAAAGTCCGGTCTCGTGGGGGTCCTAGAAGGTTGGTAAAATCTCCAGAGGTCCTCTATAACAAGCCCACACTGAAGGAGCAGTGTTATACTCCACCTCCCTAAGCTCCTCCACTACATCCCACAGCAAGAGCAGCGTAACCAAGGAGGTTATGTCCCCCAGACAGACCCACACGGGAGGAGCTATGTACTCATGTGTAAATCAGAAATAAAAAAACACAAAATAAGGCACAGCTCCTGGCACAGCTGCAGCAACACAGTGAAACGTCTTCTGCCCACGTACATTATACAGTACCTTCAATGATACTAAAAGTTCTGCATGTAAATGCAATAAGGAGGATAATTACTGCTTCTGCCTCTGTGACAGTAAAACGTCACAGAATGGACTTTATCATATACCTTCCTCATCGTACAGTGAAATCCTCTGAACCCATTTGTGATGAAAAAACAATAATAATAATTTAGAAACTACAGCATCTCTTCTGAGAAAGGAAGGCAGCTCTCTTTGCGAGGCTTTCCCAGGAGTGCTGGGAACGGGCGTCTCACCGCTGTCCACCCTGGTGATGATGGGTCCTGAGGTGACGGTGGCTGCCTCGCTCACGGCGGTGCCCGGGCTCGACGGCACCTCCCTCCTCCTGCGGGCGCTCCCTGTGCAGTTCTGCAGCGGGAGAGGGGGGCTCGTAAGCATGTAGGGCGGAAACGGCGCAGAGAAACAGCCGGTCTCACCCTGGGCCTGGCAGTACTCTGCCTAAAGCCACAGCATCTCTATCCTGAGGGCTGTGTTTGTACTAATGTCACCATCACCATCAGTACTGCTATTATAGCTATCATCGAGAGAAAAAAAGAACCAAATTATTTTGCCAGAGTTAAAAGAAAGAAAAGATTAAATGAGATGAAAGATTCTTTATACATTAGGCCTTAGGCCCATATTAAGTTGAAACTGACCCAATAAATAAAGGATCGCTGTTGGCTTTTTAAAATTGTGATTCTTAGAAATATTGATTTAATCTGAATGAAATGCTGATGTTTCGTGTAGGAGTGGACAGAAAACACACAATAAAGTTGTTGTTGTTTTCCTTTATCAAAGTGAACGAGCTGGGGCGGGGGCTCGGGGAGACGAGGGCAGGCTTACCGGCCGGACGGTGACGCAGGCTGTCCTCTCGCAGAGCCGGGTGGCACAGTGCAGGTAGAAGGTGGAGACGGTCATGTTCTTGTGCTCCACGAAGCGGAAGGCCTCGAACGAGAACTGAGCGCTCTGCCGCTCCCCGTTCGCACCCATCACCGTCTGCCCGTCGCGGGTACAGCTGCGGAGCCAGAGGGAATCCCAGGAAATCCCTGCGTTTACTCCACGCTCGGAATAACAGTGTTGTCCTTCGCGTGCTTTGGTCTAGAACTTAATCTTTTTTTCCTCCTTCTGACTTCTAGAGAAGTCATTTTCTTACACAGAAGAAAAAAGACTTCATGTAGCCTACAGCTCTGATGGCAATAGATGCTGATACTGGTTGGCCAGGAAAAGGAAAGCTTTGCTCTTCTTATACCAAAGTACCAAAACTCCAGCACTGTGCTCTTTATGGTTTATTCTCTGTGAGAACAGACCCTTGTACTTGTCCAGTGGTTTGCACTCTTTAGATAAGATTCCAAAATGTTTTCTTATAGTTTCTATATTAAAATAGCAGGTGGACAATAGAAAGACAGATTTCTTACCCTACAAAAAGATCATAATAGGAGCTGTTGACTGGAAAGGGAGTAGTCGTGGCATAACATCGGTCCAGCAGCACATAAAACCTTAAGAATACAAGACAGTCCAATCTTAGTGATGATGATCAGTTATATATGGGAACAGAAGTCAGCACTGCTGCTTCACAGCGCTGGGGCCCTGGGTTCAACACAGTGCTGTCTGCGTGGAGTTTGTATGTTCTCCCTGTGTTCACGAGGGTTTCCCAAAGACACACCTGTAGGTTAATTGACTTCACGGCGTGAGTGTGTGCGTGTCTGTGCTTGTGTGTGCCCTGCAAAGCTCTGGCTCAATGCCTTGAACTGGGGGGATGGATAAGTCACATAACCAAAAGTATTTTCTCCAAGCCATGCATGTGAGCAGTAGCCGTCTGTACAAGTGAAACCACCAGCTGGTACAGCGTCTGTCTGCATGTTTCCTGCATGACTATTTTCAAACTAAGGATGGATGTTACCAAATGGTGATCTTTCATTAAGTAGGGCCTAACCTGAGAAAGGAAAAAAGCATATCAAAAGTCGCTCCGGGTGTAAAAGGCAGACATGCCTAGGGATTATGCTGCAGTGGCAGGTCTGTCACACAATGGCTGGTGAATTCACGGGTGATCACACATGCGCTGTGGGACCAGGAAGATGTGAACCCCACTAGTTCTGGTCTGTACCTGTCAGTGAGGTTTGTGGCTTTGACTTCCACAAAGATCCTCTTCTTCAGCTGCAGGCCGAAAGATGGGATGACCAGCGGCACTTTGTAAAAACGATCCTGAAGGAACAGAGAAACGACAAAGGTCAAAACCTCAAAGCTTTGAAGAGTGTGAGAAGCAAAATCTGGGAATCTGTTTTAATTTTGTTAACAAAACTGCTAAGCAATGATTTATATTGTAAACCTACACACATTCACATCTTAAACATGGATATAAGGAGTAGTTATCTTGACAGCTACAGCAGGAATTTATGATTTAAATGATGATTTAAACATGAGATTTATAAATGAAAATTGAGAAGAAAGGCATAAATCAATCCTACTAAAAGGGACAATTAGGTGGCACTCTTCCCACTGAACCTGAATGTCCTAACTAATGTCCTGCATGTTGAAAGGATCCTGTGCTCTAGTAGGTGTCATCCTACAGATGATACCTTGATTAAACTGGCATCCTGACTGCTTGATCATGGATGTTTCTGCAGAACTGTTCATAAGAGTCAGCTCCATCGTTCAAGACAGACTTGCATTGATATGTTTGTAGTAAATGACTGTGGCACAGTCCAAGGCTGACACTGTAGAGAAAAGAAGAGGAAATTCTGAACTCTTACCTCAAAGAGCTGCATGCTCAAAGTGCTGATGAAACTGCCATTGTTATCCTTGATAGCCAGGCTCACGCCAGTCCTGCACGGCAGCAGGAGAAGTGTTAGCAGACACTACTGGCTGAGAGGAGGCCAGAAGCAGTAAGGATGGGCTGATAAATGTGGACAGCGACTTGGCACTTACACACTCATCTCTGTGTTGTTGATGAGGTACTGCAGAGGGTACCGACAGGAGTACATGTAGGTCATCTCCTGGCGGTAGGTGATGGTGCCGGCACTGGGGTCCAGGGAGCTGATTATCCCAGAGATGTTGACAGCCTGAATGCTGGAATAGTCAGAGAAGAGCCCCGAGCCCACCTCCTGAGTGATCTGTGGCAGAGAGAATGAGGGGTGTCTGCGTTCAGCATCGCCACAGAATTTCAGGATTCAGGCGAGCTTGGGAAGCTACAGTAGGAGAGTGCCCCTTGAGTTCTCTCTCACTGGCGTTCCCAAGCTCATGGGCAGCTACATCCTGACGCTGGGTGGAAAGGGGGCAATAATCTTGTGAGGGACAGACGTAGCACATCAAAAAAAACAACAGGGTTCTAGTAAAACAATACAACCCCTAAAATCACGACCCTGCCCTGTGAAGCAAGGTCTTTTCACACTGAACTCCTGGAATGTGCGCTGTTTTAGAAAGATGACAAGGTTTTCATTAACATTCAGGCTTGAATGTTTTGAATGTTTTTATGATCAAATGACTGTGATGAGCTGGCGTCTTCGCCAGGGTGTGTTCCTGCCTCACAGCCTGAGGCTCTCGGTTGCGACTGATCAATCGATTGTTTAATTGATTAATTGATCGATTGTACTCTCACTTCAATGTGGCTTAGCAACACACGGAAGCAGGTACCTTCAGCTTGTTGTTGCAGGTGGAAATGGAGCTTTCGCTGATGGTGAAATTGAACTTCAAGGTGGGCGGGTCCACAGACCAGTCGGGAGTACCGTGACAGTCCAGGCTGCTGTGCTGTGAGTTGAGCGCCATCAGCGACTCGTTGTAGCCAGCAAAGTACACGGGGCACAGCAGGATGCACAGCTCCAGTCTCTGAGTGCCGCACATCACAGTGATGTCGGTGTTTCCTGTGAGACAGGGACACACAGTGAGAAGAAAGGCCGGGTTCTTAACAGGGATTAGGAAGGGTATGCCACAGGTCTCATAGATCCTCTAAGGGAGTCATTCATGTAATTTAGAACACGTTTACCCAATGTAATAATTATTCAAGAAAAAATATATTATTTAATCAGAATTATGCTGTGATGACACTGCAAATAGTTACAAACCAGGCTAAAAAGTTCAAAGCTAAAAATAAATCAGAAATAATTTTATTTGGAATTCATTATACACTTATTATCAATCAGGAGTTTTAACCTTGAATCAGAAGTAGCTGGACACCATGACTGTTGGTTCTGTATGTTGACTATCCATGAAATTCCAAGTTACATTGACAAATCCAAATTGATTTCTTGATTATTTTGTTTCAATACTGGAAACAAACAATCAATAGAGAAAAAAGGAAGAAACATTATGCTGTATTTAGGTTTCTGATCCAGGAGCACACTGAACCACACTTAAAGTTTCTTCCTGTGTTAAAGATTGAAAGTACTGTGGTGACTCTGGCAATTTTATCTTTGCTCATTACATCAGGTTTAGCACCTACACATCAGCAATCTCAAATGTAAATCATTAGAAACTGCTTTTGGATCGTGGAGAGTCAGAGCCTGAACAGGGCACAGGTGGGCCAACAGCCTTGATGGGACACCAGTCCACCTCAGGCCACATGCAGAAAAACACACATGGCACATGGCATGGCATCACATAAGGTGAAGCCACTTAACCCGCATTGCATGGCTTTGGATTGTGGGAAGAAACTGGTGTAACTAGAGAAAACCCAGCATGGGCAGAATGTGCATACTGTACACCAAACGTAGTCCAAGTCTGGAATAAAAAGAATAAAAACTAGGACCCAAGAGCTTAAATACAATGCTACTCTGCTGCCCTATATAACCTCTACAGGAACAAGAAGAGGTTAACTCCACGCTGATAAGTAAAAAGAAAAAAACAGAACCTTCCGCAGGTGTGTGGGAGAGGAGGGGAGCAGAAATACCGTACGGGGCACAGGGGTGGGGTGAGGAAGACAGATGATCCCTGGAGACTTATTAGGTTTCCAGAGTGGAATGTAAGACAGACCAGAATCAAAAATAGTCCCTCTGCCGACTTAGAGAAAGAAAGGCACTGACTTGGTGCTCTGAAGGTGGGGTGTGTGGTACAATCAATTACAGCTTCTCCACGGAGAAACAGGCCAAGTAGACACACCAGCGCCGGCAGCCACATCGTGTTCAAGCTGGAGTGAAGGAGACTCTGATAAAAACATACAAGTGCACCATACTCTCATTAAAACACACAAACTCACCTGGAACTTTCCCTGTATAAATAATGAGTGGATATTAAGAATCGGTTCTTTTCTGCAGAACCTTTATGATCTCTTCCTGCTCTGATCTTCTGAATGCGCAGAGTGGAAACCCTCTAAAAGTGTCGCTACTTTAGAAGGACACAGATGAACAAACTGCTATACTGCTAACACAACACAACACAACACAACACAACACAACACAACAAACTTTCTGTTTTCTGGAGAAACATCCAATATAACTGATATACAAAATACTGTGTTTTCAAAAACATCCTGCCTAAAAGCCCACTGCTGTAGTTATACAGTTTATCAATGACTTACAATGTTATTATCAATATTTATAGACAGTCAGAGACTGTTAGGAAATGTTCCTGCAAGAAGATTCTGATCCTGACTTGACCACTGTGATTTCCCTTCGGTACTCAGACCGATAGCAGTTTCGGATTACCTTTGACAGATGGGAGGCGGCCGGACACAAGCAGGTGTAAATGAGACGCTTGCTGAATGGCTTCACGTCTCTCCCTTCACTCCCAGTCTGTTTTCCTCCTATTTATACCACCTTCCTTTGCGGTAATTGGCTAAGAAAGAGGACATGGCAAACACAAAAGGCAGATCAGGGAAAAGAGGCATAACCACAGCACAGCCAAAAATGCAACTCGAGCAGCATCGTGTGCTGTTGACAAACAGAAGTTACAGTACATCTCACAATCTGATAAATCCTACCCGTGTTTTTTGAAAGTAAAAAAAAATAGCTGAAAACCCCTTGATGCCTAATATGTTCATCATGACGTTTCTCTTGGTGAACAAGTGCACCAGTGCATTTCAATTTTTTTTTTCAAATAAGCATCTGATTATTTGTGTTCATTTTTGTTTGCACACATATTGTATAAGAATAGGTTTAGTCAATTTGCACATAGAATGATGAAATAGAGTATTTATGGTTTGGGGCAGACCATAACTCGCCAGCACTCATCCATGCATGAAATGAAGGAAAAGAACAAAAGTTTCAGGATCAATAAAACAGCACAATAATCGACAGGGAAGTTATGAAGCCTTCACATCAACTGATCAACTTGAAAACAAAACTGCTGACACGATTCATCCAGTTTGCTCCAGTTTTCCAGGACAGACCTAAGGGACCATGGGTATATGAAGAGACATAGGAAAAAGGAGTGACTGACTGGCATATACTGCAGGGATTGGTTACAGAGATATTTTTCATGGAGGTGTTTCCCAGATTTTATGACAATCCTATAAATTACCATTCACCTTCTTAGATGGAGCAGTCAGCTCGAAACCTGCGCGGGATACTGAAGTTAAGACACAATCAGGCAGATGAACAGGAGGGTCTGCTGTGCAACAGCTCAACATTTCTTTTTGATTGAGTCAAATTCCACACAATTCTTTGCTGTGTGTACAACACTCTGGATTAATAAGGTCATAGATGCTTATATTAACGACAAATTTGGAAAGGAGGAATAATCCAATTTCTGTTCCAAGCTGACTGAAGAAAATTGTGCCCTCATGGCCATATACATATTTACATATTTAACATGACTGTTTCCAATAGGTGGGAGTAGGTCCCTGCTTCATTTGGGTGTTGAGAACAATAGAAATGTTGCAAATGAAGGGAGGCTAGATGCACTGTCAGCCTAGTAAGAAATCGATAACTAACCACATCTCCCAACGCCAGTTTCACAAGAGCACCAGGTTAATTTAACCTCAGGTCAAATTCCTGCCAAAAAATACTGCAAAGAAATTACAGTACTAAATATATTGTCCCCAACAATACATATTTGTAAAATGTACTTTTTCTTTTGCCAACAACACTTATACGAAAGCACGGAGTCAAAATTATCTTAAGGATAATCTGTCTGTAACACTTTATGGCATTCTTTTCACTAACACCAGATTACGATCTGGGACAAATAAATGCATCTATTATGTGAACAATAAGATAGTGTACATGTTTGTACATGTTTACCTCAGATCACTGCGCTGTCACCTGTGGTTAAGAATGAGAGAGAGGATGGAATATACTGATAGGAAAAAGAGAATTTGAGTGACCTGAGTTTCTCATTCATTTCAAATAAGTCTAAAACTGAGAAGTTGTGGAAAAAGGGTCCTTCTATCTTTTAATCTTTTTCATAACTCCAGATCACATTTCATTTGTGCTCCCAGCGGTAAGTCTTTCTAAAAAACGAGGTCTCTCTGCCCCTATCCCAGGATCTCTGTTGTAAAGAAAGAATGGAAACGCCCAATCAAACAAAATACTCAAGTCCTTTCTATTACACATGGGCATAATTGGATGTTTCTATTATGTTACAGGGTGTGATTTCATGAAAAACCCAAGAGATGTGAACCAAAAATCATGTACACGCAATATAAACATGAAATCTGTCTGGTTACAGTGCTCACCTAAAATATCAAAGGTGGAGCTAGTTCAGGACGGAGGACACTGTGTATGTAGAAATAATTTCAATCCACTGAGTAGTTATTGTGAGGATAAAAATATACTTGTTATGTAATAAGATAATAAAAAATAATGCATAATAATGGGTTATGCATCCAGTTAAGGACAGAAAATTTGTTTTGATTTCTAATCCACACAGAATTATTGGTATATGTGATCAGTCCCTATATCACGAGTCAGAGCAGAAGTGCTCAGACAGGTGGATTACTGCAGGACTTGCCTTCACCCCTTTGCACTGAGATTAGACACAATCAGCATGTAAACATGAGGAGAACATGCAAATTCTACACAGAGCGCCACCTGAGGCATGAACTGAACCCATGACCCAACCCATGACACCCAGACATATAAATATAGCATGCATTTCATTTTCACATACGTTTTCCTACTTGGAAACCACAAGGCACACTCACATTTTTTAAATGTGCATGAATTCACATTGTATCCCTCACACAAAATGAGTGGGATACATTTCTGAATCTGAAAAAGAGTGGCATTTCGAGGTGCTTCTTTTTCACTGACATATTAACCAGACACATTTCACTGAAACCAGGATTTTGCATCTGGTGATGACACAGAGATGGTATTGTCATCGAGAAGATTTGGCGAAGCTACAGAAAGGTGTACCTAACTATATAAAGATGGAATAAAGAGCACAAAGCCACATTATGTAACTAATCCTCCTGATTTTACGGTTTGGCACAATACTGGTATCTAGTAAACACATCCACAGCAATACCATGACTTTTTTATGGTTCGTACCGTAAATCCATAATATAAGAATCGTTAAGGAATAACCTCTCTTATGCACTTCAGACTACAATTAACTTGTGTAATCAGTATTTATCCCACTTGTTCACTATACTTGAATGAAATGAAACATTAACATTTGAGCTTTTATTGTTTACTGCCCTCCTATTTTTTTTTACCATATTATCTGTTAAGTCAATTGAGAAGAATTTGTGATGGTGATATCCTGGAGACACGTTCATACAGCTAGGCAAGTACTTGAGCACTCTGAGTGACGTGCCTCGCACGGGTGAGCCCAGCGCCCTGCTGGGACCACTACGCCACTCTGCTGCCTAGAGGGGCCATGAGCCTTGTGAGGCCGCCTGCATCCATCTTCTTGTCCACAATAAATCACATTGAGTAGAAAACTACAACACGGCACAATCTGGAGGAATCACACTGGGACATTCCCACTACTAGAATCATTCCCTTCCAGAAAACCACACTTTTTGGTAGAGACCAAAGACCAGCAAGCACTGTTGGGAAATTCAAGGCTAGATTAGCAGGTCCCACTAAAAACAGATACCGTACATAATCTGAGCTCTGTCTCATTTGAATTAGAAGGAAGATGGTGTACAAAGGTTGACATTTTTCCAGAAAAACAGAACTATACCTCTAATTTCACTTTCAGCTGCCTTTTCTATAAACAATGAAAGCTGAGGATGTAATCAATATTGGTTCTATTCATGAAGATCATAGCTTTTTAGTATTTTTTGCCTCTCCATCGTTTCTTTCCAGGCAGTGTATACTTTATTGTTCATTAATTTTTTAAGGCAACAGCAGGATACATTTCTTCTGGGACTTAAAACTAATCCTGATAGGTGCTGACAGAATCGCAGTACACTGTGTAACAGAAAGGGAACAGACGTCATTTAACTAATTTAAGATAGCACTACAAGGGTTGGATTACATAACCATCAGTACATTTTATCTCCCATGTACTGACTATAGTTTTAATTAATAATAAAATTTTGTTTTGGGAATAATTTATGGGTGGTGTGTTGGCACACTGGTTAGTATTGCTGCCTCATAGCGCTGGGGCCCTGGGTCAACTGAAGACCTGGGGAGCTATATGCATGGAGTTTGCCCTCATGTGGGTTTCCTCCTACAGTCCAAAGACATCCCAGTAGGTTTACTGTCTTCTGGGAAAATTGTGTGTTGTGTCTGCGTGTGCCCCGGAACGGACTGGTGTCCTGCCCACCGTGTACCCTGCCTTGTGCCCATTGCTTGCTGGGATAGACTCCAACTCCCCAATGACCCTGAACTGGATGAAGCAGTTAGAAAATGAATGGACTGATAGAATACCTTATTTACTTGGGGCACCATAGTGTTAAGTATTTCTCTTTATAAAGAAAAAACATACAGACTGGTCACTTTTTAAAGACGTATACAGGTAGGTGTGCATATAAAACTCAGCTTGGACACCACGAACATTCAACCTAATGTGCTCAATATACGTATTAAGTCTGCTGTATCCCCTCCTTCCAGAATCTCTCATATTTGGATCCTTCTTGCTTGCTGCAGGCAAGATCCCTCAACATTTTGAGAAGGCACAATGGCATCTCATACTTCTTTCATAGGGAGGATACTCAGTTTGAAATCACTGAGAACAAATTGCCTATTGTAGGACTTAACTGTCCTCATTTCAAGGATATTTGATCACAGTATCTTCACACCCTTTTTAAATTCTTTTCAAAAGGAACATGCATGAAAAAACACTGTGCATTTCTTCTTTAATCACGGGGATTCCCAGAGGGAAAGTTTACTACACGCATATTTCATGCCAAATGTCACAACATAACCCAGGCAAATAGCAAACTGGTCACAGAGAATTATAGAACTGTTACAATGTAACATTGTAGGACAAACTAGTAACAATCATTCATATTTTGTATGCTGTCTGACTTAATATATATTAAGTATATCTGTCAACTTCGATGTCACTGCAACAGGCAATAGAGATTTCCATCTTGGGAACACTAAAGGACAATCTGAAATGTTACTTGCATATATGAACACTCAAAACAGCTTTACACAAATCCTAAAACATTTTACCAACTTGTTCTGGCAAATCAGAACGCTGCTCGACAGCCCAAGAGCTGGTGTGTCTGATTGTACACTTTTCCCACATGACACTCATTTAACCACCATGAGAGGCACCTGGGACGTTTTGACCATCAGCTCAGCAGATCAAAACCTTCCAGTTACCAACTCTCAACTCACTTGTCAACCTGTAATAAGGAAATTCACTCAATTGCCTTGTATGTTTCTTGTGCAAACAGAGAAATAGAAAAGAACCATGGATTTATTTTGATACCTTGTGGTTTTTTCACGAGTGTGATTAAATGGAAATTTATGCACTCCAAACTATGAATCCAGTGCCATCTTGTGTCTGTAAAACGCATCACGCTGCTATTATGTAATATTTATTTTTACAAAACGTGTAGACCACAAGTAGACATGAGTCCTATTAAACGTGTAGCACGTCGGAACTAATGGCAAGAGTCGATAAAGTCAATGACAATAACTTTTAAAAGTGCTACACGAACGCTTAGAAGCACATAGGCTTAACATTGTAGCCCAAAATATTTCAAACGTTTATTGGAACAGTTTTGGACACACGAGAGAGATAAAAAAGACAAAATACTCTAAAGCTGAATTAAAATATAACCTTTAATCATTTTGACACTCAATAGAATTTCTTTCGAGCTGTGCATATTTGTGCATGGGTCACTGGCCGCTCTCGCCACGCAAGTCACGAAAGGCCCCTGGCAAGAGCTTAAGGAGTACTGTAAGTAGGCAGTTCATCTGGTGTGCGGCTCACTTGGAGCTGGTGTACTTGGTGACGGCCTTGGTGCCCTCGGACACGGCGTGCTTGGCCAGCTCTCCGGGCAGCAGCAGGCGCACGGCGGTCTGGATCTCCCGGGAAGTGATGGTGGAGCGCTTGTTGTAGTGCGCCAGGCGGGACGCCTCGCCGGCGATGCGCTCGAAAATGTCATTAACAAACGAGTTCATGATGCCCATGGCTTTGGAGGAAATGCCAGTATCCGGGTGGACTTGCTTCAGCACTTTGTAGACGTAAATAGCGTAGCTCTCCTTCCTGGTCTTCCGCCGCTTCTTGTCTCCTTTCTTCTGCGTCTTCGTCACGGCCTTTTTCGATCCCTTTTTCGGTGCAGGTGCAGATTTTGCGGGTTCGGGCATTTTTGTTTTTCCTCTCCCTCTACGATTTTTTTTATATACCTTCTTTAATCGCTTCTTTTTCTTTCAGAACCCCCAATAAAATGATCAATCCACGCAGAAAAACAATGAAAAGGCAACGCCCTCGGAACCCTTATTTATAGGATCGCTATGCAAATACGCGTGTAAGCCAAGCAGCTTTTCATTCGCCTCTCCGGCCCCGTCAATCACACGTTTGGCCAAATCAATTGGTTACGTCTTTGCTACAGTCTTTACCCAATAGGAGCGAAACACGGGGTATAAAGGATCAAAACCGTACTGTTTCCCCTTATATAACGCTAGAAAGCATCTGGAAGTAGGAGATTAGTTCAATTTGTTTTGCTTCGGTTGGAGTATCCTTGTGATTCGCGCATCTGTTCCCAGATTATGTCCGGCAGGGGGAAGACCGGCGGTAAGGCCAGAGCAAAGGCGAAGTCCCGTTCCTCCAGGGCCGGGCTACAGTTCCCAGTGGGCCGTGTCCACCGGCTGCTGCGCAAGGGAAACTATGCCGAGCGGGTCGGCGCCGGGGCCCCGGTGTATCTGGCCGCGGTGCTGGAGTACCTGACCGCCGAGATCCTGGAGCTGGC